CTCATATTATATATTATTAGAAACAATATTGATCGCCATAAATTTAATTTTATGTTTATATTTTTTATATATAAATTTAAATTTTTATAGCAATTTTGCGATTTTTGCAAACTTGCAATTTTTATGGTGAATTTATTTTTATGGAGTTATTGAAATATGTGCAAATATTCATATCTTATCTGCACTACATTAAAATAAAGCCTGAATACAAGTGGAAACCAAATATTACTAAATCAAATCAGGATTTAATAAAACAATTGTGCAAATAAATGTGTCCTATGGCTTTTAATCAAATATTTGATTTACAAATGATATGTGAGAAACAAAATGTGTTCAATATTTGCATAAAAATGCAAAAATAAAAATAATAATAAAGACATTTGGGCCCAAACATACTGTTTTTAAAAACAATTGCACCATTGCGTTTTCTCAATACATATGGACTTGTAAATAATGAATAAAAGTGTTTTTTTTTAAATAGATAGATCAGTCATAAAAAATTAACCAGCAACATATTAAGAACAATTTGAAATCACAAAATACTTATTCTAAAGATATAATTAAAAACGAGTCGGATCAAATCGGTAAAAAATACTTGAATATTCATTTTTTTATTTAGTTAAAATATCATCGACAATAAAAATATTCAAACATATATAATCAAATTCATCTAAATTTTAACTGAAATGATTGTACGATCTTTCTCTTTAGGATATCTCTTCAACAAAGAAGGCTTTAGAGATATGTGACCGTATAATATTAACATTAATATAGAAAAAAATGTGTTATAATTATTATCGAATTCAAGTTCTGAAAGGTTATCTAGTAATGAAATTTTTCAATTTTAATCAATTTAATTAAATTATGCAGGTATGTAATCATATAATATACCAGGTGCACAATTTTCCACGAATATTATCGCCTATATAGCAGTTAGCCATACATACAGAAATTCATAGATATTTTATAACTTAGAAGAATTTGCTGAAGGATTTATATATAAAAGTAAAATATAATAAATTTATTAATTTATATCTGAAATCGCGTATAATTTTTATTATTTTGTAGCATACTTGTACCATCGCCAATAGCAAATTGCTCTAAACGAATATAATCCATTCATTTTATTATTAAGTATTAAAACTAATAAATAATATTGTATAAATAATTAATTAACTAAATAATTTACTAGTTTCTTCACGAGTTATAAATTTGAATTAAGTATAATTCATTATTTAAATTATTTACTAATTAACTTATAATAAAAGTAAATATATACTATTAGTTTGTCTGCTCATTTTAAATTCGTGGATAGCAAATTATTTCATATAAGCATTATTTATTCATTTTATTATTTCGAATGTTTAAAGTTTTCATGGACAAAAAAATATTCCAAATTGAGACCATCTTGCTATAAATTTCCGATTTTCGGTGAAAAATTTTAATTGCTCGGAATTTAAAGTAGTTAGAAAGCTGCTACAAAAATATTGCGGATTTAGTTCATATAGTTCTAGAGTTATTCGACTTCAAAAAAAATATAGTTAATAAAATTCTAAAGGTTTTAAGCGCTGTAGGAGTTTAAACAAGGAGTAGAAGAATTGCCATTTAACCAAGAATATAGGTAATTAACATTTAATTCAATACTCCTAATTGTTGGCGAATAAATCACAAGTAAACGAAAATTTAGCATGAGAATTTTTTTGGGGTTTTTGTTTAAAAAATTCGAGATGCTGAAATTTATGCAGCATATACCCTATGAAGTTAGAAAACAGATATAAAAATATTATAAATATAGTTGAGATAGCATTTGAAAAATGTGAAAATTTGAATACATACACACACACTCCTAAAAAAGAAAGCGCCCAACTCGAATTATTATAGTCATAATTTCTTCTAAATTTATTTTTATTTATTTTTTATTTTATTTTTTTATGTAAATTTATTTATTTTATTATTAGTATTATTTATTTATTATATTTTTTATATCTTATAGGACAGCAATTCAATTTAACTTATTCATCGATGTATAAAAGACTTACTACTGAGTAACCTTTTAGAATAGATGTTAATTATCCATGTATCATTTTTGTATAAAGACAGATTGCAATTAAAATAAAAAATTACACACACACATAATACATATCCGTTTTATCTTAAGGTATGCCAAAATCTTCAGAAACTTTTGAAATGTAAAGATATGCAGAAATTTTCATTTCGATATTTTTAGGGATTACTATAACTTACGCAACAAAAAGTTGATAATAGTATATAACTAATAAATTTAAGTAAAATTAATGATGAATTTAATATTATATTGCAAAAAAATATAAATGCATTGGGAAAAAAATAAAAAAAATCATGTCAGGTGTGGGGTTCGAACCCACGCTCCCTCTCGGGAACCAGAGCTTAAATCTGGCGCCTTAGACCGCTCGGCCAACCTGACTCGTGAACAAATGAGATCAATACGGCTATGTATACGGCTGTTTTGATATCGTATACATAGAATGTATAATTTACTCGATGTATGACTATTTCGGTTAATTGGATAAAGAATTATATTTTACATTAATGTGTTAATTTAATTAAATGACCATTTTTATACAATGATTTAGATATATAATTATAAAAAATTATATGTTTCCATTTACCGTTTTTTTTGTTTTGTTTCATTCAATGTTTCAGCGATGACTGTACCTTGCAGACGTCTTTGTTTACAAGTCAGCATTTATTTACAAAGTCAACAAACGTGATTATTTTGTCAATTTAATTCCAATGACACTATTGTGAATGCTTTTCTAAAACAAATTATTGAAATGATGGCGAAATGCTTGTTTACATTTGTTCAAGGTTTAAATATTAATGCTCCCAGATTCAGATTAATAATAGTTTTCGGTTCATTGAAATAATCAATATATACAAATCAAAAAGTATATATTAAGAACAAAAATGTATAGATGAATCCAATAATAAACTAGGTGTAAATGACATTTTTTCAACAATTAATCAAAAAAGTCCCCAGCGATCATTATTAAATACTAATCAGCACGATTTCCAAGTGATATCTTTTCAACAGTCTTAAAATTTTCCAAACCAATTCAATATTTTAGGCGAAAACGTGTAAAAATTTTTTTACACTTATCTGGAAATTATAAAGAAATGGCTCGACCGATTGTTGCACAGAACTTATTGATGCTAGTCCTTATCTAATGCCTTAAATTTTATAATAAACTAAGTGTGAAAGACATTTTTCAACAATTAATTAAGTCCTTAGCCAATTTTTATCAAATACGATCAGCACGATTTCCAACTGATAATCTTTTCAACAGTTTTAAAATTTCTAAATCAATTAAATCAATTAAGGTTTTTAGGCAAACACGAAAAAAATTTTATTTAGCACTTATCTAGAAATTATGAAAAAATGGCTCGGCCGATAGTTGCACAAAACTAATCGATGTAAGTCTTAAGCAAATGCTTCAATTTTTTTATATCGGTGCAGTCGTTTGTGAAAAAAGACGACGAAATGTCATATTTTGGCTCATATATACATACATACACACAATATCTCCAATTTTTATGTCAAACGATTCATTTCTTGACTTAACACGTCGAGAAATTATTTTGCGGTACTAATATTAATATTGACAAAGTTATTACATAGTACGTTTATAGAATAACAATTATTCTTGCATAGTTTTTCACACAACATTTTAATTTTCAATACATAGAATAAATTATGGAAAATAAATGTGTCTTCTAAATAATTTTCTTTGGCTTTAACCCTAAAATACTACTTTTTGAAAAAAATAGTGTTGTGGAAGGACGTATAACCATTTGTAACAAGAGTAGAATAAATTAAAAATGATAGCAGTGTTTAATCTAATCTACTAATATTTTGTGGTCAGCCCAAGTCTTAAAAATGTATGGTGTGTTTCATAAATATGGCGGCAGTAGCTACATAGATCTACTCAGATGTCAACATCAATAAACCATTAATAATAATAAAATAAAATAATAAATCTCACCTCATCAAACAATTTCGCAAAAGTACCACAGATTGCACACAGATTTAATAAACACTAGTCAAGCACTAAAACACATTATAAAATAAATATATTATACTATTCACGAGTGACACAAACTACTAAATGGGTCAGCAGACCTTTTTAGAAAGATTTTTTTGATCAACCTGAAGTATTTTACTTTTATCGATATAGGTTGCAATCGGTACCAACAAAACTGAATTAAACATAAATATCAACCTAACAATCGATACAAATCGAGTACAAATATGAATGATTCTCAACAATAAAATGCTAATATCAAATTAGTTTTTGTGTTACATTTATAGATTTACGCCTATTGCTTCATAATTTATTCTATTAATTCAACAAAATCAATAATTTACAAAATATATTTCCAATAATAAAATTGGGCAACATAATTCTTGTGATTTATTCATGTCTTTCTGGTAACTTATTACTAAACATTAAAAAACAATTACATAAATATTTTATTTATAAAAATGTCCTTTTTATTTTCATGATGCAATTAAATATAAAGCTTAACAAAATAATTTTTTACATAAATATTCTGTTACCAATAATAAATATATATATTTAACTTAATCGGATTAGTTAGGGCATACTAACTTCTACGAGTATTACTAGGCACTGAAATATGTATGTACAAATTAATTGTATTGGCAACACGAATTATATGAATAATTTATTTAAACAACTAAAAATAGACACATTCCATCTGGAATGAAATTCTATATATAAAGTATACATGACATAACTAAAAAATTTAAAAAATGTTCATTTACAATATAATTGATATGTAACTTGGTCGGTTAATAAAATTTTGAAAATATTTTAAACTAAATAAATATAATATACAACAGAAATAAATCTTCTAAAAATATACATTTATAATATATATTTTAGCATTATATCGCACTCCAATGCGTACAAGTTTATATAATTTTTTAGTACGTCTGATTATTATAGCACTAATACCCTAATATCTATATTGTTTTTTTTAGTTTATTCACATATATTAACACCATATTGCAATGTCACTTTGCTAGTTATATATAAACTGTTTTATATTTGATTTTCACATTTATTTAAAAAAATTTTATCACAAACTGCTATGTTGTATCGATCCAGGATTTATTACATATATAGGTTCATGATAAGTTGATGAAGGACCTGGAATATCTTCAATAAATCTTCTGCGTGGCGGTCGCATTCTTTTCATATGTCTTTTATAACTGAAAAAAAATCATAAGAATTGCATTAAAAATAAGCATTTTAATTTGAAATGTTTCAAATGCTTCTCTTCTAATCTATGCCCACAATTTGAAAAATGTCGAAATAATTTTAATGGCATTTTAATGAGGCCTGCTCATGATTATGCACAATTATACATTGTACATACAGTAGAACTATGTATATTTGGGAATAAATAATGAATCATATTGAAATTCTTAAATGAATTTAATATTTAAAATAACTCGAATTCTTTATAATAATCATACGACTTTTATTTGTTGCATTTTTTCATATCTAATTATATTAGCGTTCAATGCGTATATAATTGAGTTGTTTTCAAATCGTATAAAACTTATTTTACATGCTATATTACGAAAACAATGTGTGATTTTTACTATATGCCATGAATGTCAAATGTTATTTTTTAATTGTAAACTTTTGATAAGGCTATAAAAATATTGGTTAAATATTTCAAAATAAAGCGAGTAGAAACATATAGCTAAATGCAAAACAATCTTGGTTTATTATCCTTTGAATGGAAAATAAATAATGAGTTTTAATCATTAATAACTATTTTAGTTTAGAAATCAAGAACATGAATAAATTCATTATAATTTTTGCAAAATACAACGCAAAACAAAGTATTATTAAAAAAAATTAATTATCAATAAAAAAACAATATTATTAGGGTGGCAACTAAGAAAGTGCGTTTTTAGTTTAGATGTTTCAATTGAATTTTTAGGTTTACTGACGTAGTCCAACTGTAAAATACCTTTTGTTAAGGGATAGTAAGCAATTTAGATGTCCATCAGTGAAAAGAGTTTTTTGATCCATTGCTTAGTTTTCATTTGAAAAATGGAAAAACAAATAGAAAATTTTAGTAATATTTTGTTTTTATATTTCTGCAAAAGTAAAGAGGCTCACAAAACGTTATCAGCTGTTTATGCTGAAAAAGAAACTGCAGAATCATAATTGGTTTGCCAAATTTCGTTTTGGTGATTTTTTACTCAAATATGAAAAAGGCAGAGTTTGTCCAGTTAAAGTTGATTGAAAAGTAATTGCTTATTACCAAACAAATGATCAATTCTGATGTCTACATTGAAGAACTAACGAAATTTAACAATGCAGTTGTAAAAAAAGCATCCTGAATTTCTCAATCGAAACGGTGATTTATTCCAGTATTGACACACTACATCTGGCAGCTTAGTAAAAATTATTGGAGCTTGGTTGGGATGTTTTGTCATATCCACCATAACAGTACTGACCTTGCACCTTCTAATCGCTTGTAGTTTTAATCTTTACCAAACTCCTTGAATGGTAAACAATACAAAGATGATGATGGTGTGTAAAACTGTACTTGATGCAGTTTTTGCTAAATAAACCAGAAGTTTTATGAAACTGAGATGATGATGCTGCTTGAAGAAAAGACAATGGTGAAAATGAACAATTCTTTACAAAATTTAGTTATTTAACCCCATGAAAAGAATGTCCTTAATTTTCTAGTAAATCCGCAACTACTTAGTTGCCAACCAATTTACATTTATGAATATGTTTCTATTTCTACCTGCAGTGCATGCAGCATAACGATACAGCTGCTCCAGCAGCCACCAGCCCTATGGCCAGCGCGATTGTCAGTACTGCAGCCTGTGCAGTACTTTCTTCAGGTGAAGCGCGTGCACCAGACCTGGTAGCACATTGTTCGACTGCTTTCACGCGATGTTCACGGTAGACCCGCTGCAGGTCTGCTTTGGCTCCTGGTGATTCGAGTACGGCGAGCATCTGTCCAGGAGTTAAGGCCGTACCACCAGGACGCGTTAATTGGAAACAAGAACTGTAACAAATTAGATAAACAATAGTAAATAAATTGATAACTTAAAACCAACAATGAGGCTGAAGAAACTTGGTCTTCAGGCTCGGTGTACTAAGTAAATCAGGACCAGATTAATTTTATAAAGGAATTTACTCGTTAAAGATCTCCAGACGTTATGAAATTTTTTAAACATTGTTTAAGAGCAATCAGAGCATATTGTTCTATGGCTGTTTGGCTCAAATATTAACTCAAGTAGTATTTTACTTGAGTATAAAAAGTTGACATGGTAGATAGCCATCAATTGAGGATCACTATAGTTTCTTATAGGAGATCCACTGGTTGCTTCTTTTTCAATCTTCTAGGCTAAGAGTCAATTTTTAAACTTAAAGATTTTTTTTATTTCCATATTTCCAGATTCATTGTACTAATGATTGATATCTACATTGGCTCCTGAATTTTTTCAACAACTTCTTGACAAAAAATTTAAAAAATGTCTATAAATGCTCAATATTTAATTTAATCTTATCAAAGTGTCTATCATATCGCAAGACAGCTAGGCACCAATGCAATTGCATAATTATGAAAGCATTAAAGATCTCCAGACGTTATGGAATTTTTTAAACATTGTTTAAGAGCAATCAGAGCATATTGTTCTATGGCTGTTTGGCTCAAATATTAACTCAAGTAGTATTTTACTTGAGTATAAAAAGTTGACATGGTAGATAGCCATCAATTGAGGATCACTATAGTTTCTTATAGGAGATCCACTGGTTGCTTCTTTTTCAATCTTCTAGGCTAAGAGTCAATTTTTAAACTTAAAGATTTTTTTTATTTCCATATTTCCAGATTCATTGTACTAATGATTGATATCTACATTGGCTCCTGAATTTTTTCAACAACTTCTTGACAAAAAATTTAAAAAATGTCTATAAATGCTCAATATTTAATTTAATCTTATCAAAGTGTCTATCATATCGCAAGACAGCTAGGCACCAATGCAATTGCATAATTATGAAAGCATTAAAGATCTCCAGACGTTATGGAATTTTTTAAACATTGTTTAAGAGCAATCAGAGCATATTGTTCTATGGCTGTTTGGCTCAAATATTAACTCAAGTAGTATTTTACTTGAGTATAAAAAGTTGACATGGTAGATAGCCATCAATTGAGGATCACTATAGTTTCTTATAGGAGATCCACTGGTTGCTTCTTTTTCAATCTTCTAGGCTAAGAGTCAATTTTTAAACTTAAAGATTTTTTTTATTTCCATATTTCCAGATTCATTGTACTAATGATTGATATCTACATTGGCTCCTGAATTTTTTCAACAACTTCTTGACAAAAAATTTAAAAAATGTCTATAAATGCTCAATATTTAATTTAATCTTATCAAAGTGTCTATCATATCGCAAGACAGCTAGGCACCAATGCAATTGCATAATTATGAAAGCATTATAGAAATATTTCTATAGTAATAGAAAACCGCTATTGCGTTTACTCTGTATTGATAATTTACATGTGCACCTGAAGTTAGAAAGTCGATTTAGAAAAATGCATCGAAACGAATGAAAAGTAAGTCTTGGCAGTATTTTGAAAATAACGATACTGTAATTGAGGAAAAGATATTTTCTTTAATTGCGTATATATACATATACATGCATATATATATATATATATATACTAGCTGTACCCGCTCACGCTTTGCCGTGATTTAATTTAAATTAAAAAGTTGTGTGTTAAATTAAAAAATGTGTATTTATTACATTTAGTTTAACGTTACTGCTATCTGTTCAACAATTTACCTATTCAGCAATTTGTCTACGAATTTACCTATCAACTTGTCAATCTACCATTTTACCCGCTTAGGAATTTACCTGTCAAACTATTTACCTATCAACCCATTTCACATGTCTACCAATTTACCTGTCAACCTGTTTATCCGTCTTGTTATTTGACTATCTACCAGCTGTCCTCTCTACCATTTCACATACCCTCCAATATACCTGACCACCAGCTATCCAACAAATTACCTTTTTACCAATTTACTTGTCTACCAGTTCACCTCTCTATTAATTTACCTGTCTACCAATTTACTTATCGACCTGTTTATCAATACATCATTTTACCTGTCAACCATTTTACCGGTCTACAAATTTACCTGTCATTCCGTTCTACATGTCTACCAGTCAACCTGTTTATTTGTCTACAAATTCGTTTATCTACCAGTTCTCTTCTCTACCATTTTACATATCCTCCAATTTACCTGCCCACCAGTTTATCTTGTTTATTTACGCATTACAAAAAAATTAAAGCTCAAATTGATTCTACATTTTAGTTAGAAAACGTTTGTATGTGAAAAAGAAAAGGGCTGTTTTTAGGGCTTTCCCGGCAGTTATTCGATTTTTTCTCGCCGTAAGAACCATCCTTGGACTTCAACGGACTTTATAAAAAAAGAATTGTCCAAATTGGTCCAGGCTTTGTTGAGTTATGCGCTTACCAACACATTTTGCGATTCATTTTTATATATAAGATATATATATATATATTAATATATATATATATATATATAGAATGATTTATATTTTAAACCTTGGAACAATGAATCATTTTCCGGATTTTCTTATGAGTCACAAAGTCCTTCATAAAAGGTTAGAAACATTACATGAAAAATCCAATTCAGTAATTTTATGTTTACTTGACGTGTCAAGTCATTCTGAATCGAATGAGAACAAATTTGGAAAAAATGTGGGTATATGTGATGTATAAAAAAACAGTATCAAGCAAAAATTTTGACATAATTAGAAGGAGACGCAATAGCATTAGAAGAAAAATGAAAAAGATGGATTCGGAAGATGGTTATATATATATGATGTATAAAAAAAACAGTATCAAGCAAAAATTTCGACATAATTAAGAGACGCCATAGGATTAGTAGAAAAATTAAAAAGAAAGATTCAGAAGAAAAGAAAGTTAAATTAAGATAATGTAAAACAAATTAATAAACGAAGCCTTTGAAAGGAGTAAATAATATCTTGAGTTAGAATTTGAAATGTTAAGTTTAAAATTAATTAGAATTTGTATTGTTGATTTGAAATTGCATAGAAGTAAGTAAGAAAATGAATTAAAAAAATTTAGAATATAAAAATGAAATATTGTAGGTGGCTAATGCTCCATGTAAGCGAGGCCAATAAAATTAAAGAATTTAGGAAGTTAACGGGCACAACTAGTGTGAAATTTTTCGATATTTCGATAGGTTATACCTTTAAAAATAACATACCAAAATTTTAAATCGATATCTTAAATAGTTTTTGAGTCACAGCCATTTAAAGAGTATTTATATAGTATATAGTATAATGATCATTTAATCTTTAAACGCGTTTTTCTCGAAACAGCATTTTCTGAATTTGCTGCAGCGATTACTCAAAAACAAATGACCCGATCACTACCAAATTTTTTTTACATGTTCTATATATAGTTCTTCGTAAAATTAACTATAGATTTTTTGATCAGATCAAAAATCGAATTTTGGCAGTCCAAAAACGACCAAAATTTTGGGTAAAATTCGACTTTTTTTTAAAAAACGACGCCATTTTGTCAATTTTTTCTTTTTTTTTATAGTAGTTCATTTTACAGACAATATTATCTAGTTTAACGAGAATTTTTTTTTAAATTTCATCCACGTAGAAGAAATCACTGCAGCAGTGAAGGGCCTTTTGTTTGTCGCGCCGTTGGAGAACGACGATAACTTAAAAAATATATAATTTTTTTCTTCAAAAATTATTTAATTTTGAATTACTATGTATTCTAAAAACATGTATAAAAATATTCCTAAAATTTTGAAATGATTGATAAAGTAGTTTTTTAATATAAATTTCCAAAAATCACCTTTTTTTAGGCGGTTACACTAGTTGTACCCCTTAATGCATCTTGCCTCAAGACAAAATGCAACATGTTACAACTAGTTATATAAATATTTTATATAAATTTTAAATAGTCATTATATATGCTTGTAATAGGAAATCAACAAAAATGATATTTAATCAGTATTTCAATTATTCAGTTTGTGCATGTTTGAACAATAGAATGCAAAACCAAATATATCCCTTCCTGATAACTGACAAGATGTTTATCTGTCCGTAATAGAAATTGCAGTGGTCGATCAACCTTCAAAACGTGAAGTAATCGAAATGCC